TTATTCAGATTTTCTTAAAATTTCCCTAGTGTCCTTTCTGTGTCCTAGAACCCCACATGACATTTCATCGTCACATCTCCCGAAACTCCTCTTGGCTGAGACAGTCTCTCAGGCTTTCCTTGTTTTTAATGACCTTGACCCCAAAGAGGAGGACTGGTCGGGAACTTTATAGAGTCACTGTCAGTTGGGACCTGTCTGAGGTGCGTCTCACGGTTTGACTGTGGCGATGGGCTTTGGGAATGCGATCCCCGGGGTGAAGGGTCCTTCTCGACATATCACACCCTATCAGGATTACATGCTGTCAGCTAATTGAGGGTAACATGAGGTTTTTCTTTCTCCAAGTTTTCAAAGAACACTAACGAAAAATGATAACACACTTAGGCCAAGAAGGGAATTTCTGAGCACAAAAAGGCAGAAACGTCCCAGGTCCCAGGTGCTGTTACGGCACAACCATAACAAATATGCTGGAGTGACCCCTGGGTCCCGCATCTCACCCTCCCCAGGCCGTATATTCAAATCCCTCTAGCACTTATGAAGAGTGTGGGTGGGGGGCAGCCTCTAAAGTGGCCCCCACGACCCCTACCTCCTATATTAATGCTCTTGTCTGATCCTGTCGCCTCGAGTGTCGGCACGACCTAATGAGTCCGTTTTAACTAACAGAATATGACAATTGTGATGGATTGTCACATGCAAGATTAGGTTACAGAAGACTTTGATCTGTCTTGCTGGCTCCCTCTTGCATCCTCAATGGAAGCCAGCTGCCACGTTGGAAGCTGCCATATGCCCACATGGCAGACTAAGGAGGGCCACCAGCCAATAGTTGGTGAGAAATTGAGGCCCTTTGTCCAACAGCTGGCAAGGAACTGATCTTGCCAGCAGCCACATGCGTGATCTCAAAGCAGAACTTCCCCAAGCTTGGGAAGATTATAGCCCCACTTGACACCTTGATTTCAAACTTGTAGGATACCCTGAACCAGAAGACCAGCTGGATGGCCCCCAGATTCCTGACACACAGAAAGTATGAGAGCATATATACTCATTTTAAGCCATTATGTTTTCTGGATGCTTCTTTTAAAAGTGCCCCACAGAGATCCCTTGATCTTTCCACCACATGAGGTGTATTGAGGTATAATTGACATATGAAAACCTGTATTTAATACATTTGTATGTATATTTAATGTACTTAATGTATACTAATTTATACAATTTGATGAGTTTAGACATACACCTGTGACACCATTGCCACAATCAAAGTAATAAAACATGTCTATCACCTCCAAAGTTTTCTTGTATCTCTTTGTTTCTTAGAGATTTTTGAGGAGGCGGGGTAAAGAATTCTTAACAGGAGATCTACCCTTTTAACAAAGATTTTAAGTGCACAATGCAGTATTGTTAGCTAGAGGCGCCATGTCGCACAGCAGAGCTCTGGAAGTTATTCATCTTGCATATCCGAAACTTTATACCCATTGAACATTCTGGGAAAAAGTTGAAACTAACCATGCTGAACCTATCAGTCAACTTCAGAATGTGTGATACTTTTTTGTAAGAGAATAGGACATCAAAACCATCAAAGTCATGCAAGACTCCTCAACCCCCACCCCCCAAAAAAAAATCACAGGAACTTTCCTAGATTAAAGGACACTGAAAGAGACGTGTCAACCAAATATAATAAGTGAAACTGGATCAAACCCTAGATTTTGTTTTTAAAAGCTATAAAGAGAAAATTGGGGAAAGAATAACATAGTTTTATTTGACAGAATTTGACTTATTTACTCAACAATAATGACTGTCTTAGGGTGATAATGGAATTATGGTCTTGTAGAGAATGCCCTTAGGAAATGCATGGTTAAGTATTGAAGAGGAAGTGTCAAAATGTCTGCAACTCTTTTCCAAATCGTTTAGCAAAGTGGATTTTTTGTACAGATGCCCCTCCACTTACGATAGGGTTATGGCCAGTTAAACCCATTGTAAAAATATCGCAGGTGGAAAACATATTGGATACACCTAATCTACCAAACATCATAGCTTAGTTTGGCCTATGCTTGACATCAGAACACTTACTTTAGCCTATGGTTGGGCAAAATCATTTTCCCGCTGCTGCCCAGCATCACAGGAGAGTATCATACTGCGTATCATTAGCCCAGGAAAAAATCCAAATTAAAAATTCTCATCTTTTAGCAATAAACAGGACAAACAAACAGAGACTCGTAGACATGGACAGTAGACTAGTGGTTACTGGAGGATAGGGAGAGAGAGGGGAAGGGGGAGGAAGATGGGGTAAAAGGGGTCAAATATGTGGCGACAGAAAGAAATCTAACTATAGGCGGTGAATACACAGTGTAACTATATATATGCCTTACTGTTAAAATGTACAGCTGAAACTAATCAGATTTTGTTAACCAATATCACCATAATAAAAAAAAAAAAATTCTTTGAACTACTGCTTT